ATGAAGACCGCAGATAAGAAGCAGATGAGAAAAAGGGCCGAGCAGATAGCGTTGGTTTTATTTATTTGTTATTTTGTTATTGTATTTTTTATTATTGTTTATTTATTATTATTTTTATTTATTGTTATTGTTTATTATTATTATTTATTATTATTGTAATTGTAAATATATTTATTATTTAGGAGAACGGGTAATATCCTGATGGATAGTGACGCGATATGGCTGGTGAAGTATCTGGCGTCGAATCGAGAGTTCTGTCAGTCATTTGATATGTATTTGAAACAGGTGACATTATTTTATTATTATTTATTATTATTATTTATTATTATTGTTATTTTTTATTATTATTTAGTATTATTTATTATTATTATTATTGATATATTTAATAATTATTATTATTAATATGTTGTGAATATAAAATAATTTTAGATTCTGATGGGTATTCATATCGAGGGTGCGGTCGGCTTGCGGACGAAGGCGATGAGGTGCTTGACTCTGATTATTGAGTCGGATCCGGAAGTGCTTAGAATTGTGGGTTTTATTGTTTTAATTAATTAATTAATTAGTTAATTAATTAGTGATTTGTTAGTGTTATTATTGGATGTAACTGACAGCTGCAAAGTATTTCAGCCAGAAGTGCAGAAAGCCGTGCAGCTGCGGATGATGGACTCGAATGCGGCGGTGCGCGAGGCGNGCTGGTGGGCAAGTACGTGATCGCGAGACCGGATGTATTGCCGCAGTACTACGATATATTGATTGAGAGGGTTAAGGTGGGTATTTTTTGTTATTAATTAGTTAATTAGTTATAATTGGTTTTGTTATTTTGTAGTTGTTTTGATTGTTTTGTCATTATTTTGTCACTATTTTGTCACGGTTTTGTCATTGTGTTTGTGAGTGAGTGGGTCTTATTTGGCCATTTTTGACCTGTTTATTTGTGCGGGCTGGCCTTATTTGGCCGACTGCGACCTGTTTAAGTGGATGAGTGGGCGGGCTTTATTTGGCCGATTGCGACCTGTGCTTCTTTAAGTGGATATTATGATGAGTATTTGTGATATTAGTGTATTTGTATTGCGATTAATATTTATTGTTAATTGCAATATTAGTCCAGGTTGCAGTGCAATTAATTAGCAATCCAGGTAATCCAGGTAATTAATTGCAATAATGATGATTGAAGGATTTGGGTGTAGCGGTTCGAAAGCGGGTGATACGAATAATGAGAGAGATCTGCGAGAGA